ACTTTGGCAGGCAATCCTTAGATCACTAGTCTGATGTGAAAACCACTCGGCCACCCTGCCACTCAGTAGTTGTTTGAAGTTCAGAGTGACCAGAAATTAGAAACTGTTTTATTTGCCTGTTATATTCATGACATCATGACTTGTGTCAACCAACTATAAAGTAATTACATTTATATCTAAATTCTATCTTTGGTGGTCTTCATTTGAGAAGCTTTTTTGCTCTGAGATTCTGTGACTAAAATTGTTCTAAAATGTTACTAATTCCATCAGGGCTTTGTCAGAGAAATCTGACAAGTGTTATTAATAAGACAATGTTGGCCTTATTTCATTTTAATACTTAATGCCCCAGCGTGATGTCACACTGGAGTGATGCCATTATGTTTCCATATACTGACATTATCTAGCTGATTATAGAAATAAAAGGAAAGGTTCTGCTTAATACTTCCACTCTCAGAATAGATGCACTTTATTGAATTGTTATTTTTGGTAGTCATTAATGTTCCCGATCTACTTTTAGAAGTACTGGTAGTTTTCTGGAATAAAGTTTGTTGAAATGGAAATTTTGATGTATTTTCCGTACATGTTAACGTTATAAGGTTATAAGTAATGAGCATGTTAAGTAATAAGCATGTTAAGTAATGGGCATGTTAAGTAATGATTTCTTTACCTAAGAAATCAACCATGTTTGATACTATTTTTAAAGAAGAAATAAATCAATAGAACATTAAGTATACTTTTATCAAGTTGATATTTATTTCACTTACAGAAGCTACATTATCAAATTTCCTGCAAAATTTGATCAAAGAGACCTACTTTTCCATTTGTTTTAGAATTCCTGGGAGAGTACACTATTGTAATCACCTTAGACTTTCTACTTAAAAGCGTGTTTTGTTTTGAAGCTGCTCGATACGCTCGGCCAATACTAGATTGTTTTATCATCAGTAGATGTACAAATAAGGATATTTAGTTTATTACTGTTTACGGAGAATAGATTCTGATATGTGCGGCTTTCTGGGTGGTGGTGTTGTTGTTGTTACATTAATGGAATAAATACAACAAGGTAAGAAAATGGATTTAAGTGCTATAATGAGTATTGGGAATCTAGAAGATTTTAAATTTGTCACAAGAAATATTGAATGATAAAACTTGTGATTTTGCATATAGTATTTATTCAGTATATATGAAACTTTGCTAAGATCTATCTTATAACTTTAAGATTGAATAAAATGACAACATTTCTGAAGTTTCTGTTGGATGATTTAATATATATAACACCCAGGAACTGAAAGTCTATTCCCACATGAGTAAAATTGTAAATTATTTGTAAATTTTATATATTTTTCTTTCATTTTGTAGACAGAGAGCATATCCAATATTCATCTAGTACTGCTAACAAATTTAACTATGACTGGTCACACTGGTTACATCATTCTTTACTACTTTAATCACTGCCATCACTATAAGTTAGATGATGACATGTACAGTGTTTATCATGTGACCAAAAATGGCGGCTCAGTCTTCGTTGTTTTCACAAATATACTTCTTTTCTTTATCTTTTTACTTTTTTTTTGTCCCTGAAGCATCTTAAGTAAATGTAAGAATCCGAAAGTGATTTAACTAGTAAATCATAAATTATAAAAAAAACAGAATATTACCAGTTGAGGCATTTGAGAGAAGTCCGTGGCAAAGTGGTTAAGGTCGTTGACTTCAAACCACTTGCCCCTCATAGCTGTGGGTTTGAATCCCGACAGGGACTTTGGATTCTTTCATGTGAGGAAGCTATCCAGCTAGCTTAGGAAACGTCGGTGGATTTACTCAGGTGCCCGTTCGTGCCTGAAGTAATGCACGGAAGGGCACCTGAGGTCTTCCTCCACCAGTAAAGCTGGAACGTCGCCAAATGACCTATACTGTGTCGGTGTGACGTACTTATTTAAACCCAAAACAAAAAAAACAAAAATTTGAGATAAGTAAATACTGCTTTGAGGATTTCTACTTGAGAAATTATCCCCATTTACATTTAATGTATCCCATTTATTTTTAGTGTATCCCCATTTACATTTAATGTAAATGGGATACATTCATAAACGTCTCTAAAATATTGGAGTGTTTGATAAACTATATAACCTAAGCTAAATGTCTTCTAAGACTAAAATTAGGTTCAAACTGACTCAACACTATGAGCATAATCAGATTATTCTGGTTTTGGAAATTTGCTGAAATGTTGAAATATGCTTAATATAATATGTATATGCCTAAATAATTTAATTCAAAAATCTGGTTAATGGTAATTTAGAAATAGAATAGTTCTATAATAAATATGTCTGCAAAGCTTATCATTTTGTGAACATATAAAACCTCTAAACAGACAAAATTGATGACTTGTTAATAGAAGAACCCATATTGATTACAGAAGTTTGTCTTCTTTTTGGCAGATTTGAAAAATGGATGAAACTTATATAAGGACAACTTGAATAAGAAATTGCATTTTGGTGTAGAGATTATTAGCTTTAAATTACATTCTGGTTCAGAGAATATTTTCATCAAATATTTTTATTTGGTCTAGAGACTATTTTTCTTTCACAATGACAGGCTCTCCAGAATGTACATCCCTGTAACATCTTAACAAAAGTTCAAGATCAGTTTTTTTAGGCCATTGTTTGACTTAGTGTATCAGTTTGTAAGGGGACTATAATCAATTTATAGTTATTAATTTACTGGGCAGGGTTGCTGAGAAAGATTAAGGAGGTGAAATATTCTTTAAATTATTCAAAAGAAGGAAATATTTACAATTAATGGGAATATACTATTGCAAATTTGTTTTGTGGTCATCAATTTTACTCTGCATTTTATTCTCCTTAATATTGACCTGTTGAAGAAAGAGGAACTTTTCTTTTAAGAGACCATTCAAAACCAAGGCATAAATGAAGACATTCAAGTGGAATTTACAATAATTTTGATCCAGATGACAAACAGAAACAATTTTTGTGGAGATAAATCAAAACTTGTTACATATATGAGACACAAATTATACAATAGCAAATCCTTACTCGTGATTTACTAGACATACACTCGTTAATTTTGAATAATTCTGAAATTTCTATACGAAATAAGACAATATGCGTGTCATGATATTTGATGTCATGTCAGGCTCGATATTGTATTACCTCTACAAACAATCTTAGTCATATAATGTTATATATTACAGACTATGAATGGTAAACATTATACTAATAAAGTTTTCCCCATCTTTTCTTAGAATTACTAATGTAGATTTGGCTACTCTTTTTGAACTTCATCCTTGAAAACTATCTTGTCCGTCTTTCTTCTCTTTCTTTTGATAGTATTTTCATGCTGTGTTATATCTTGAGGATTATCTTAATTGTGTAATTTCACATTTTCTAAAAAGAACATCTTAAACATTACTGGAATATCAAACTATAGTGGCAGCATGGCAGAGTGGTTAACATTTCAGACTAGTAGTCTAAGAATCACTAGTTGCATGTGTTCAAATGCCATTGTTTTCTTGAGCAAGAAACTCATTGCTTAGTGCTGGTTAGATCCAGGAACAGTTGATAGCTTCCTACAAAATCAAACTAAAATAAATTAATTGAAAAAATTACTAAAATTTTGCAGAAATAATGCTGATAATTCTTGATGGAACAGAATGTTAAGGGAAATAATTGTGACGACAGTAATTTAATGTTAACTTGAGTAACTTCCCTTGATAAAACTAAAATTTTATACAGACATTTACAAATTGTGTTTAAATATGCTGTTGCTTGGCTTTAATAACAGTTCAAAGATATCGTTTTTCATTTTCTTTTATATTTAAAAAGTTGTTTTACCCTGGATTTGTTTTAATAATTTAAATTATATTCCAGTAAAATCTGTTGTTGATTGACTTTGTTCTAACTTGATCTAGTGTTTCTATATTGAAATAGTGCATGTATTATTTATACTTAGACTGCTTTGATGGTAAAAAGCTTTGAAATGGATTGAATTAAGATGTGCCGATAATTATTCTTCAATTCAACATTTTAGTGTAAAAGCTTTTTTGTTAGAAATGCAAATTCAGCACATTTAGAGGTTGCTTTCTGTAATGAGAGAAAATAAACCGTAATGAAAATTGAATTTTTCGCCATTGTGTCTTTTATTGTTAGAAATGTTAGCTGACATGTTCTAGGGAAACTACATGGAATAATAAAATTAAGCTGAATATCTTAAAAAGATGCCATGGAAAATGTTACAAGAATTTGGTTTTTTTTTTGTTTGGTTTTAAGTCACAATTTGGCACTGTAAAGGGTATTAAGCAACTTTCCAGTAAAGACCTTGGTTGCCCCTTCATAATGAATTGGCAACTTAAGTAGAACCACCCTCCCTCCATAAGCTAGCAATATTTGTTCCTCATGTGGAAAAATCAGGGCAAGTCATCTTTTGTCCAAACTGAATGATGGACAAGTACATTTAAGAGATCTTATAAAACATTGTATTTGTTAACACATTAAAATGATATGACTGATTGATTATGCTTCACAGACTTTTTTAGCTGCTGATGTGTTCTTCAATCTTGCCTTCCATCATTTCTGCCATACTTACTAGTTTCATATACATTTTAATGCAGGCTAACATATCACAGAAATAAAGATGCTGAAAGGTGCCATCTACCTGTATAATTGAAAGTTTTTTCTACAAGAATGTTTAAGCCATCAAACAGTGCTGAAAAATAGTCTTTAATGTCAATTAAATGAAAATAACTTAATAATTTGCAGCATTCACAAGTTCTTTGACCTTGAGCAATAGGTCATCATAAATTTGAAGGTCATCATGTTGACTTACTTGTATACTTATTTATTTGCTTTCAGATTCATTAAAAAGTATTGCAGTATAGAATCCATGACAATTACTATCACTCAAATGTCAAAGGTCAAGGTTATTCCAAGTAATTGAAAAAAAGTGACCGGTTCAATTTTTAAATATCTTTTTTTTTATCTATATTTCAGATTACCATCTTATAACAGACAGCAAGGCAGTAAGTGCCCGACTATAGCTCACCCTTCGAGCAAGGACACAGGTCAAGGTCGAAGCAAATCACAAGGTCAAGGATCAAAGGTCAAACAACAGAGTCAGCCAACCAATGGAAGCTCACAACAGAATGGATCAGGTTACTCTAATATTCTAGTGCTGAAAAGGATGTTTATATATAAAATTCCATTAAGGTTTCCTGACAAAAATCATTTGAAATATACTGCATTGACTGCCAATCAACTCGTTACTCAACTTTTCTCTAATAACTGAGTGCAACGGTGGTAAAATACAAAAAGAAAGTTCACAGTCAAGTAATGTAAGGGAAGTAATCATATGTAGCATATTCACAAAAGTTGTACTATTAATCTCCCTTTACTTGATGAATTATTTTAGATTGTCTTTTTGTTCAGTTTTGATATTTATACCTGGGCTTATATTTATTATAGTAATACTCCTGTCAGTTTGTTTGTCTGTCTGTCAGTGTGTCTTAAATGATGTCTAAAACAATACTGATTTACATCTGCATTTTGCGTCCAGTCTGTGTCAGTCATCGATTGAAAATTGAAAAGCACAAATGTTCACCATTTAGAATGTAACACAGATTCTGTTGTCAAGCATAATCTTCAGTGAACCTGCCTTAATATGTCACCTTTCCTGACAAATCTTGTCTGGTCAGATGGTTCTATTTTATAGCGATTCATATTCTATTTTCTACTGATCTATATAAAACTAAGGATCAATAATTTACACCTGATGGATAATATCTTCATCAGAAAGTAAAAGTACCCCCTTTCTGTGTTAATAGCTCCCTTGTGACACGGTATCCTATGTATTCATTGTAAATATACTGTATAATGTTTTATCAAAGGTATAAAAATGATCAGGTTTTATGTGATATGGCTCATCCATAATTGATACATGAGTGTTGACGAGATAAAAGCATCTCTGTGACTAAGATCAAGCATGTAAATGACACTGAGTCATGATAGTTACCTGTGCACATGACAAATTAGACAATATCATATTTTTATGTCATTAATATGATTTTTGATATGCCAAATTAGAGGCATATAGTTAATGCACCAGACATTGGTCAGTTTAAAATGTTTTTCCTTAATTTTCAAAACCCTTAACACAAGAAAGGTGTGGTTTAATTTAATGGAGTAACAGCTTTTAATGCATATAATAGCAAAAACCAATACATTCTTTAATAAATTGATACAGATCTTGATTGCATTATGTTAGTCTACCCTTGCATTATAGTTAAAACATTGTGCTTCCACCCTGCACTTAATTAAAGATGGATCTATAAATAGCATGCATATTGATTAACCAATAAAAACTTTAAATGATAGAAACAAAGTAGCAACAATATTGATTTTTGCCCTGTTTCTTAATAACCCAGCAGGTGGTGGTTGCACATTCTATGATTAAGGTGATGTAACATTATGTTGAAGGTGATGAATAGCTTCGAAGATCAACTATTTTATGCATTTCTAATATTTTATTACCATTTAGAATGACATAACTTTCCGTAGTACCTTCAAAGATCCATTTTTATGCTGTTATGTTTCTAACATTATGATTTCTCTTTTAAAATATTGTCAATATCTAAAGGCGGCCATTGAAGTAAAATCTCCATATGATTAACTCCGTTATCACCACGTTCAAAGAGTAAAATGCTCAAATTTTTTATCCATCATGATATCAAAAAAACCTTTGACTGTAAATCTGTTAACATTGATTTTGTTTTATCATTTACTTGGGACTTACTTATATGGTTCTTTCAGACAACTTTGTACTATTTAAAAATGTTATCAATTTTTTTCTAAACCTTGAAACATTTAATATAAAGTATTTGTTAGAATGGGAGATCAGTCCCTTATGTGTTATAACTCTTTCCCCCTTTGTACCACCTGTGACATCATTCACTGAATGATTTAATTGAATGAAATTCCTTGATTCCGGCAGAGATATCACTATGTTTTATAATATAATGCATTCTCTCTATTGTTTCACTTGTGAGTTCCTAGAATCCTCACATGGGAATTGAATTTCCATTGGTATTTTATCTTTAAAGGCCCAAATATGTTGAATTGATAATCTGATTATGATACTGTGCTTCAAATATTCCAGTGGAAAATATCAGTGTATCAGTGTGATATAAATTATATTTATCATTCTAGTCATGCATAAAATAAATGAAACCAGATAATAGAATGTCATAGCTTAGTGGGTGGACTGAAAAATGGTGAAAACACTGTTAACAAAGTTTTCATTTTGCGATTATTAACTATATTGCGTATCAAATTTCAAATAGAATAACAAAATAACAAAATTGATACTGAATTAGATACTGTCGATCATTTTGTATAATTATCTGCTGTTTTATTTTTTAGTTGCAGATGTGAATAGTATATCAGATCCTGGGACTGCTGCCCTACGAGCCACATCACCAGCGGCAACTGGTATTCCTACACCAGCAGGTCGCGGTCTGCCACAGAGAAGTCAGTCGGCCACGCCAGATAAACAACAGAATAGAAATAGTAATAGTAATTCTCCGCACCCTGCAGGTCAAGGTCAAAGGTCAAATATTCCTGGTAGTAAACAGAACTCTATGTTAGACAAATTTAAATTATTCAATAGCAAGGAGAAAGCAAAAAGTAAAGGAAGTGTAGGAAAAAGTGGTTCCAAAGGAAATAGTGCAGGGAATAGTAGCACAAGTACAAGCACATTAAGTACTAGTTCTCGTAGTGATACATCTTCATCAATTAGTGCAAGAAGTTCAAGTTCAGCAGACGCAGGACCTAGTAGTAGTGCAACTAGTACAAATGATCCAGACAGTCCTAAATTATCAAAGCCCCGCCCAGTAGGGGGTGGGGCTATTCCTGGAAAGCGTGAAAATCTCGGAGGATTAACCATAGGTCATCAACAGTCCAGGCAGACTTCCCCCTCCCCCTACAGTAGCTCCCTTCCTGCTACCCCTGTTTCTTCATTACCCATCTCCCATAGCAAGAAATCTGGAGGGAAGTCTGGCCGAAGTAATGATGGTCAATCACGGTCTCATCTACAATCGGGCTCACAGACACTCACTAAAACTTCAAAAGGTGGAAGTCTGATACCGAAATCTGGAAGCAAAGCCCAGAAATCTTTGTCTACCCTTTCCCTCACTAGTTCTTCATCAGGATCACAAATTCCAACTCCTGGAAGCTCACTCACAACTGGAAGCTCAAATTCTACTCCAGGGATACCTGTTCCTAATTCTTCCATTCCAAAACCATCTCAATCTTCAGGAAAGCTATCTAGAGCAAGTAAAGAAGAGAAGATGAGAGGTGCTGGATATTCATCTCCTCAAAGTATGATTCCTCAAGGCCAAGGTCAGAATCAGCAGACAGCAAGTCTACCAAAGAAATCAAGATCACATGCATCATCTCAGCAACAACATTATCAGCAGCAACAACAACAGCAACAACAGCTGCAGCAACAACAGCTGCAGCAACAACAACAGCTGCAGCAACTTCAGCAACACTACCAACAACAACAACAAGCGTCTGCCAAGTTAAATTCCAGTAATTCATCTCAGGGCCATAGTTCCTATAATTCTCAGTCTTCCACAGCACCACCTGTTCCCCCACATCGTAATGGCAGTACATCATCAAATGGTAGCCGTTCCAATGCAAACCAGCAAACAAATAAAGGGTCATCATCATCACCTGTAAAATCTCCTCAAGATGGATCTACCTCACAGAAAACCAGGTATACAGAAATAGAGTACACAGATGGCAAGATAGAAAGAGTAGGTGAAGGGCATTTTGCTAAACCGACCAATCAGGCTGTTGTCAGCAACCAATCAGGAAACAGAGATTTCAGTCATCCATATTTAATCACATCCCAGTCAGTGAATGTAGTAAAACCAACATGTAGTTCACCACATCCTAAATCAGCTGAAAGCAATACTCAAACATCAGTGTCCATCATGCATAATCGATCGGCACAACCTCCCCCGTTGCCAAAAACCGAACCTCCTCCTTCAACAAGGACAACTGTGAACAATAATCCTCAAAGTTCACAAGCTCAGACAAATTCTTTAAACAGGGCAACCAGTCAGGTTGCTCAAAGCAACAACCAACCTCAGTCACCTGGTAAAAAGGACTTATTGTCAACAAAAGTGCAGGATTCACCAGAGGCACCCAGCACAAGCAGTTCTTCAAGCGATAGTGTTATAATAAATACAAGTGCTACAAACTCACCTAGGTTAGGTATCAAACTTGGTTCCCAAACAACACGCCCGGCAAACAATGTTGCTATTGTTCAGCCACATCATGGGGAAAAGAAAGAAACAACTTTTGATAAAGAAATTACAACAGATGTCATTAAAGGTGAAAAGATTGAAAAGGATTTGGAAAAAAATAACAAAGAAAACGTTGATAAGAAAACAACATTTATTGCAGATTCAGGCGAAACGTTGGACATTAAGCCGATGGAACCAATCAACAGAAACATGCATTATGCTCAAGGTTTCATGGGAAGGTATGCCTCTCCAGGAAAACCGCTGCCAATGTCAGTCTCACAAAACCAGTGTTACGCCATGACTGGCATATCACCTAACAGAATGGGAGTTAATCGGTCGCTGATGGAAGCAAACAAGTTTTATTCAGGTTCAATAAAAAGGGCGACATCAAGTGGTTCTGGAAACGTGTCATACGATGATTACAGTTCTGATTATGATACTTACGACTATATATCTGGATACATGTCAGACGGGGACATCTTGAAGGGAAACAAAATGGACGACATGTCGTCAGGCTACATGAGCGAGGGTGGAGCTTCACTGTATGCACGTCGTCTGCAGCAAAGATTTAGAGAGGGAATGCAGGCTGTTAAAGAATGTATGCAGAAGAGTAACAATGTAGATGAAGACAGGTTAGTCTTATTTTTGTTTTTTTTACTCTTAATATAATTTGCGTCTAAATAAAATTTGTCAAAATGCCGTTTTGATCAATATCTTAGAAGTGAGTATTTATAATAATATTTTGCATTATTATTTTTTGTTTGCAGCTTAATATATATTTAAAAAGTTGCAGTTACGTTTAGATGTGACAATTTAGCTCGAATATTTAGTCTAATTGTCATTTGTCTCTCAACGCTGATTGTCCATTTTATTAATTGGGAAGAATTTGGTAATTACTGGTTAGTTATCCAGGAAAGCTAATTAGCTGCACTGAGATATGACTAATTATGTGTTGAAATCTAATAAAAACAAAAAAGAAACTGACAAGCAAACAAAACATTACTGTATGATAAAACTTTTTTTTATGTAATTACTTGTGTTTACTGTTTTTATTGCTTAGTTTCAATATCCCAAGTGTCTTCATTAGTTACATTAAATAGATATAAATGTTGATCTATTTCAATTTATCACTTCAATAATGGTTTTCCTTTGAACAAAGCCAATTTCAAATCTTTATATTATTTTTATTGAACATTCTAGATAGTGGCTTACAAATTGAAAAGTTATCTTCTAGAAAAAGAGAAAAGTTTTATTCAAATAGAATCTAAAATTGATTCTCTTTCAGAAGAACATAGGTTGATTTTGCATTAACTTTTTCATAAAACCTACAAGATGATTAGCAAGATTTGATGTTCAGAAATATCAGTAGATTTCTAGGCTGTTGCATTTTCATGGAGGGGGGATAAAAAAGAGAGAAAACTGTAAAGTAGGCTGTAATATTACTCTCTCATCTGTAGATTAAGAGTAATTTTCAGGTTGTTTATGAATTTTATCAAAAGTTTATTGAAAATTTGTGTAAAGAATAAAACAATGCAGATTGCACTATCTGAATAAGAGTAGTTATAAGGCCTGAGCTTTAATGTTATAACTGGTAGCCCAACCCTTTTGCAATATAACTCTTTGTGAATATATGTATTTGTTTTTGGATAAGGGTTCAAAAAATGATAATAGCATTTTTTTTTCCAAACAAATTGCCCCTGTTAATGTCAGTAAGCAGGGATGTTGCATATATATATGTTGTTAATGTTCATTTAATGTTTTGTTGTGAACTCTTATGTATTAAAGTTTTGTAACAAAATTACCTGAATGTGACAGCATAATGTCAGGTTTTGTTTATAGGAGTTTTTTGTAAATATAAGGCCATTTCATTTGGTTGGTCAGCACCTTGATCAGATTTGAAAGTTGATTTTGTATTTGATATGTATTTGTTTGTTTCATTGGTAGGATATATCAAAATAACTGTGCATGTATTTGGTAATAAGATGAATTTTGATTATAAGTTTGAGAAATTTGATTGTTAATAAGCAAATTACCAGCCTTGGAATAAATTCGACTTACACTGCATTTAAGGACTTGTGTCAAAATGTTGTTAACATTTTGAGTTCATTTGGGTTTACAGAGTTCATTCCTTACAGTTCTTTCAGATAACATTTGGTACAGAGTTTTCATGATAGAAACTTTTTTATATGAGCTATTACCTTGCAGAAAGTATACATAAACATACAAATCTTGCTCTGGGTGCTACTCAGAACATATTCTATCATAATGCAAAAGAAGGTTACAGGTTGCTTGATTAGTTAGTTATTACTGCCTGGCACAACATATTATTTTTGTTGGTTGATTTGATCTCTGGAGTAAAAGTTAGTGTCAGAAGTAATTGTAACATACCTGGATTTTTTTTCTAATAAAGCTGTATTCATAGATATGTGTCAGCAGCAAGTTTGTGATCCATTAATGAAAGAATATGTCTTTGGCTTAGGTAGGTGTTGATTTGATTACTTTAGACTAATGCTACTGGAATATATTCTTTGTCTTGGTGATTTTTGCTGGACTTGATTTATATTTTATTGAATTAAACAATATTTTGTGTTGGTTAATGTGTTTTGAACTTCTGTGTTGTGAGTTACTATTTTTAGCATTTAAGCAGTAAAAAAAGTGTTATATTTAATAAGATTGGTTCTGACATGAGTTGGATCTTAAGACTTATATCTTACAACATAAATCGTGTAAAGAGAAACTATAACATGGGCTACAGTTGTAAATTTGGGACTGGTTTGTCTAAAGGTATTGTAGATTACTTAGATTAGTTAAGATTATTTTTTTCTTTGCTCATTTCCTGAGTAACCTGCTCCAGAATCCCATAATGAAGATGAGGTGAATGTATAGGTATTTATAAACTTTAAGGTTTTGGGTTCAAGTCCAGTATGCACGACTGTTTAATATCTCTACTTGCACCATTAAAGTAGGCAGAAAATAGTAAGTGCCTATAAAAGTGAGCAGTTGCAAGCTCTTGTTGAGTACATTTGCAAAATCCAGAAAGTCTCATAATTTGGTCCAAGGTGTTACATTATTGACTTACTATTTACTGTAAAGAAAACAAATACTGCAATTTAAGCAATTCCAGATGATGAATACCAATATTATTAAGTTAAAATACCTAAAAGAAATGTAAATATCACTGTGTGAGTTCAAATCAAGATAAAATCTGTCATAGAGTGAAGTAACATCTTTAGTAAAAGTGATGTAAAAAAAAAACAGCTGAGTCAGCTAAAAAAAAGTTTGTCTCAGGTATTCTGTGTGGTCAGGTGTGTACATCACATGTATAGAGACAAGAAAAATAGTTTTGCCAAGACAGTTTATTGTTCAGAGAATGATTAGTTTTGTACCTTAAACTGATATGAAATGATTTATTCTAGATATTTTATATTTTCTTTATAATGTATATGGTTATATTATTGATAAATCAAGTTGTTTGAAAATACTCAATACACTGGACTGAGATCAGCTCACAATATGTTACAAATGATATGTTTTTTCCTTTATTTTGTCATTTACGTAAGCTTTATTGTTGTTTAATGCTTTACATTTGCTTACATCATTACTTTCCTACAGCATTTGAAAAGTTGCTTCTTTAAATTGAATATTAATTGGCTATTGAAAGTGATTGAGGATTTATAGGAATATGTCTGAGAATTTTGAGATTAAAAAAAACAACACACTAAATGTTCATTGAAATCTCTGAAAATCAAACTTCTTATTTATTTGACAAAGTTAATATTTAACAATTGCAATGAATTTTACCATAACTTAGGCATTACTTTTTAAAATGCATTATATGACAGTCACATTACTTTAATATAAGAAGAGATTTTATGTACCGGTACCTAAAGTCATTTACTATACTGAAAACTGTTAAAAGTTATGGAGTTAAAATGACATGACCTATAGTGCCATCATATGTTTCTGTGAGAAGAATGGGCATTATATACAGGTTTGAAATTTCATTAATGTCAGTTATGTAATCATAAAGAGATTGATGATGAATACCATTAATAATTACACATGATTGGAAAAAATCAGTCAGAATCTGTATAATTGAGATAAATTATAAAATATCTTAAACATTGATTAGTTTTCATTATTATTCTGAAAATAATTAAAGTACAAATCACATTCATTGGATAATCTGTTAGGATTTCCCCCCCTTGATTTTATTGATGATTTCCTATAATTCTCCATGAGTCAGTCTTAATGTAATTACAAAACTGATTTATTTTTATTGCACATTTAGTTCAAGATAAGGGCATGAAATATTTAAGTCCTTTGCTTCTTTTTATTCTCCCAGTGTTTCCTTTGAATGTTTTAAAAGCAATTATTATTTTAATAGTTTTCATTTCCACATTTGGATTTTTTAGACATGAATCAAAAAGTGATGGAGGCAGAAAATGATCACAACTCATACAGGCTCATCTATCAAAATTGATATTATCATTAATTACATTGTAAATGAGTTTTTAATACAAGAAATGCATGAACTCCTTTTCACAATAGCAATCACTCTACCTGGGAGTAGGAACATTTAATAATGATTAAAATGTCTGAAATAGAAGTCCATGTTGAGTAATAAATTGACTGTATAATAGCAAGATATCAGTAATAATGAAGTTACCTGCAGGCAAGATATCCCTATAGCTCAATTATCAGAGAGAGGAGCCAAAAATATTACAGTTATAAAAATCTTTTCACAGACAATTTTATTGTAATAAAAAATCATTTCCTTGATATAAATAATCAATAATTTAGGTCATTAAAGACAGACCTTTTCTTCCAAACCTTTAGGCTTGAACATGGTTTTGTTATCGTTACCCTTTAGAATTTTTTGTTGACATATTTAACAAATGACCTTGACATATATACATGTAATATGACATTGACCTTAAAGGTCAATTTTTCAAAATTTTGGGAAATTTTAGCCAAACTTTGATATATTATAAGAAAACACTCACATTTTGTAGAAATATCATATAGTTAGTTCATCCTAGTTTTCTGTTTTTCTGATCAAGACAAAAACAATGAAAAGTAAGGTTACTAGGTTATAAATAACAAATTTTAGCTATATTTTTATACGAGTATTGCCAAAAATCGGCTATCATCTCTTGGAGTATTACTTTTATGCCTGTTCCAGTTTGTTTTTTTTATTGTGAACAAGCATAATAAATAAATGACTCTATATTTATGTTTTTATTGTGAATAACCATCATAACTCTATATAAATGATACATTTTTTCCTGGCACAATTTGAATATATTTATTACATACAGCAGAAGGTTTTGTACTCCTTTGGGAGCAGATAATATAATTTCTGTTAAAACTTAGGAAACAAGCTATTGTGAGAAGTCTTTTATCAGCTAAATGTACCCACTCAGGAGTCTAATTTACTTTATCCAATATTTATAAAGTTGAAAGAGTTTTTCAAGGGATTTTATTGGGTTCTTTTTTGTTTTGTTTTGTTTTAAAAAAAGGCAAGTATCTGCTTCCTAAGCTATTGATTCCGATATTGTTCACTGAGAATCTTGTTTTCCCCTGCAGAGTGTAATGAGTCATCCTAGATAACAATAAGTTACCTAAATTC